TAGCATGTCAGGGTCGAGTTCCGGAAACTCCTCATCCTCCTCGGCGTCGTCGTACAGCAGGTCGTCATCATCGTCCACGTCATACACCGTGGTGAAGGCAGCGGGGACGAAGAAGTCAGGCGGCCTCCGAAGTCGGCCTGAACGCCGTGGTCCTTGCTGGACCTCCGCGGCGTCCCCTCCATCGTCGCTGTCGTTGCTGCCCTCGGCGTCCCGCTGCTCCTCAGCCGGCGTCCCTGCCGACTGCTCCACTGTGGTCGGCTTCCCAACCGACTTCTCCCCTGTGGTCGGCTCCCCTGCCGACGTCCCGGTCGCCGACTGCTCCATGGTCGGCTTCACGGCAGCCTGCTCCCTTGTCGGCTGCTGCTCCTCGACCTGCTGCTCCTCTGTCGACTGCAATCCCACGTCGATTCGCCGCTCGTCACGTCGCCCACCGGCGATGCACTTGGCCGACGCCGAAGGCGGCGTCCCACTACTCCCCTCATCGCCGGAGGCCGACACCGAGGTCAGCCCACGTAGGTCGGCCACGAGGGGAGGGGCAGGGGTCAGAGGGAGAGGGGTAGAGGGGCGGACGTCCTCGACGTCCTCAGTAGCAAGCTCACCGACCTCGGCAAGCAACGGCTGCGTCACCGACGAGGTGTCAGAGGGCGGGGTGGACGACGAGCGACCGGACACCGGCCCATGCTCCGTCCTCCACTCGGCCAACGACATCTCCTCGTAAAACACCACGTCCGACGTGGTGACCACCCGGTCAGTGGCGACGTCAAGGAGCTCCCAGCCCTTGCTCGCCGCCGACACGCCAAGGTGCAGGCCCCACTTGGCCTTCGGCGTCAGCTTCCCACCACGCTGCTGCTCAGGAACAAGGAACTGCGCCATGCAGCCCCACACCCGCGCCAGCGACAAGTCGGGCTTCTTCCCGGTCAGCAGCTGGTACGGCGTCGTCCCCGGCGGCAGCGTCGACCTCTCAAGGCAGTTGCGGACCCAGACGGCCTGCCGGAGAGCGAGGTGCCACCAGTGGTGCTGCACGCCCATGTGCAGCAGCATTGTCCGCACCGACTCCACCACCGTCCTCATCTCCCGCTCCGCCATGCCGTTCTGCTGCGGGGTGTATGGGCAGGTCAGGTCGTGGACGATTCCCTTGCCGTTCACGAAGTCGGTGAACTGCTTCCCGAGGAACTCCCCTCCCCGGTCAGATCGCAGCATCAACACCGGCTTCTTCGTCTGCCGCTCAGCCACCGCCAGCCACTGCACAAACGCCTGCAACGCATCTGACTTCTTGGCGACCGGCTTCACCCACACGTAGCGGGTCTTGCGGTCCTTCAGCAGCAAGAAGTACAGGCTACCATCCTTGGAAGCCACGCGGAACGGCCCGCACAGGTCGATGTGCACGACGGCCAGCACGTTGTCGGCGTCGGAGCCTTGGTCGGGGAAGGTGTGCCGCGCCAGTTTCCCGCCGACGCACGAGACACAGGGGGAGTCGGCGTCCGTTGCCGACTTGAGGTCCAGCCCAATGGCGACCTCGTTCTTCGCCGAGCTCCGTATGGTGTCCATGCCGACATGTGCAAGCCTCGCATGCATCCGGTCCGGCGTCGACTTCGTCTTCGAGACGATCACCCGCAGAGCCACCACTTCCGTCGTGGGCGGCGTCGACCTCGTCGCACAGGGATGCAGGTCAGTGCAGAGAACTCGCCTAGAGTACGTCACCCGCGCGAGCACCTCCCCCGCTGCCGAGACGAGCAGCATGCCGTCTCCGTCCTCCTGCAGCTTCACGCCATGCTCCTTCAGCTGTCCGGCCGACAGCAGGTTGGCTCGCACACCCGGGACGTACAACACGTCGGGGATGAGCACCTGCTTCCCGGCCTCTCCTTGCAGGGCAATGGTACCGCAGGCCTGAACATCCTGCAGCGCCCAGTTGAAGCCGCGCACATGCCTGATGGCGCCGCTCGGCTGCAGGTCGACGAAGGCTTCCTTCGTCCCCATCAGGTGGTGGGAGCAACCGCTGTCGAGCAGAACCACCGCCGGGTTCGCTTGCACAGCTGCCGCCACCGCCTGGAAGTCCTCTCCGGCCTCCGACGCCAGAGAGATGGTCGGCTCCACGACGCCGACCAGCGAGCACGACGCCGTCTTGTCGTCTCGCCCCTTGCCGCCGGCAGAGGAGTCGGCGTCCTTCGCCGAAGTCGATGTTTTGGTCGACTGCTTCTCCTTGCGCGATTGGTTTCCTCCACGACGAGGACGACGGCTGCCAGACCTCCCACGGCCTCCCTTAGCATCGTCGTCGTCGGAGTCGCTGCGGTTGGGACACTCGAAGGAGAGATGGTCGGGATCGCCGCACAGCCAGCATTCCCGACGTCGACCTCCTCCTCCTCGACCGCTGTCCTTGGTCGACTTCCTCGTGTCGACCTCCTTGGCCGGCTTCCAGCCACTGCTACCACCACCGCCAGACTGCCCGCGCTGCCCCGGTCGACCTCCTTGCTTCGCTGAGGTGACCAAGTTCGCCTGCGCCAAGAGCTCCTGCGACCGCTCAGCCTCCTGCATTGCCTCGTCCTGCAGGATATACGAGGTCAGGCTGTCCTCGTTAAGCGTCGCCCTTGTGCTCGGCGCCATGGACAGCCGCTTCAGTAGGTTGTAGCTACTAGAGAGACCCTGCATGACATGGGTGATGTACGACGCCGTGGAGTACTGCGCGCCGGCCATCCTGATGGTGGCGAGAATTCGCCTGGCTCGGTTGCAGTAGTCGGTCGCACTCTCCTCGTCACCCATACGCAGGTGCGTCAGTTGTCCCTCCAGCTGGGCAATGAACAGGTCGTCGGTGACCTGGTACGTCGACTCAATGAAATGCCACGCCCGGTGGCCAGCGTCGAGGTACTCCCGGCACCACTTCAAGGCGATCTGCACGCCCAGCGAGCAGCACCGCGAGATGACCGTGAAGGTCAACAGCTGAACGGCGCGAAACTCTGCACGCAGGTCGGGGTGGTGCTCCCCCGGCGTCGCCACGGTCCCTCGGGCGAAGCCGATCAGCCCGGCCATCTCCAGCTGGGGCTCGATGGCTTCCTTCCAGGTGAGTATGTCAGGTCGACCGACCAGCAGAGGGGTGACCGAGATCGTGTCCGGCGTAAACTTGAAGTAGTCGTAGCTCGGTGCAATCCCACCTGCCGTCACCTGGGACGCCGACATCGGCGACAGCCCACTTCGACGCCCTCCGACGTCACCATGTGAGGAGCCTGCAGCCGCCGACGACTGCATCCCTCGCGCCTGAACGCCGCCGACTTCACCGGCGTGTATCACACCTCTCTGCCTCGACGTGCCTCCAGCACTGCTGCCGACTTGACCACCACCGGCGTTGACGCCCACGTCGACGCCGCCTTCGTTGTTCACCGGACGAGGAGAGGCAGGTCGAGACGGGTGCTCCGTCGCCCACATGGAGCGGAGTCCTGCCTCAATGACCGGCCAGGGCAAGTTGCCATACTCGTTGGCCTTGTGCTTCCTCCTCGCGTTCTCCAACCATGCCTCTAGGGTGTCCACCACCCCCGCGTCACCTACGGCTCCTACCATAGTGACTACCGCACAGTTGCCGGCCTGCAACTACGAAATAGGTAAGTGGTGTCTATGTCGACCTGACTGAAAGGTAAGTCGTGTGCCGTCCACGCTCACCGCACCATGCGGAGATAAGTGCAGCAACGGGAGATAGACTACGGGCTAGGCACGTGTGCTCGTGTGATCTCTGCGTTCTCTGTTCCTTAGTCGTTTTCCTTGTGCGCACACTACTTGCTAGTTCACGGGGAAAATTGGCAAGAGGTCCACTAGGAAAAGTTCAGAACAATTGGTACAATGAAGTTGGCATAGCAAGACTACATCAGAGCAAGCATTCAGGTCGGCCAACTGCCAGCGCTGCTTGGTCGACCGCGTTCCAGCACAACTTGGTCAACCGCACTCCAGCAAGGCAAGGTCGATGGCGTGCCAACGTTGCAGGACAGCAGTGCACCCGCTTCACAGGTGCGCGCAGATGATTGGCGTGCAGAGTCCTGTCACCTCTGATCCGCCACGACGACCTCGGGATACCACCACCAAGGTCGGTCTCGCCAACTTCGCCTAGGCGACCGCCACACTCCTCCGCAGCACTTCGTTACCCAGGTAACCTGGTCGACTAGGGAACCACGTCGACCAGCAGCTCCCATACGTGCCCGTCGACCTCCCAAGTCGACGACCACCTCCACGTCGACCTCCTCCAGGTCGACGTCCCCTCTGGTCGACCAACTCCACGTCGACCAGCATAGTCGTCGGCCGACCACCCACGTCGGCCACCCCAAGTTGACGTCACCAAGTTGACGTCCTCCACAGGTCGGCTCCCAAGTCGACCTCCCTGAAGTCGGCGCCACCCTAAAGTTGGCGCCAGTGCAGTGGTCCCCCGTGCAGATCGACCTCCTCGTCGACCAGCTCACCCACTGCTGCAGGTCGGCTGCTCCCCTCACACCCGACCACGAAGTCGGCTCCGCCCAAGCGAGGACGGGGCCAATACCCAACTCCCGTTGACACTCCCCTGCCGCGTTCACGCTTGGGCACCCAGCCCACACGGCAGTACAGCTTGGAGACTAGCTCGTCGACGTGCACCCAACACATAGCACGTCGTCCACCGCACCAGCCATGCAAAAGGGCATGGCACCTACTGCTGCACGTCGTTGTCGCCGTCGCCCACGTCGGCCAAGCGCACTTGGCCGACTGCGACGGAGCACCGGTTGAAGGCCGGATAGTGCAGCGCCTTCGTCAGGAAGTCAGCCGGCTGCTCAGCGGTTGGGATGTACTGCAGCGAGAACTTCCTGCGCCTCACCATGTGCTGCAGCCAGGCCTGTCGCCGTTCCATGTGCTTGAGGTTGCCCGTCAACCCCATGCCCTCGGCGACCGTGATGGCCGACTTGTTGTCCACACGCAGGACAGTCGGCTTCCCGGCATCCAGCTGCCGGAACTCTGCGAGGAGGAAGCGAAGGCGGCGTCCCTCCTTGCCAGCTTCAGTGGCCGCCACGTACTCCGACTCGGTCGACGACAGTGTCGCGCACTTGATGCGCTGGCTCGACCAGGAGACTGCGGCCCCTCCGTAGACGAACACGTAGCCACCCGTGCTCGTCCTGTTCTGCTTGTCACCAGCGTCGTCGGCGTCCACGTAGCCGACCAGCTCCAGCGACTTAGGTCCACCGCCGAACTCCAGGGTGGTGTCACGTGTGTTGGCGAGGTAGGCGAGGCAGCGGTCGACCTCGCGCCAGTGCTGATCGCTCCTCACCGTGAGGCCGCTCCCCAGCTTGCTGCAGGCGAAGGCGACGTCCGGCCTCGTCGTCGTCGCCGCGAACTGCAGCGAGCCGACCTTCTGCCGGTACTCCTCCTCCTGCCGTTCCTGCGCCTCCTCGTCATCGAAGGTGAGCTCGGCGTAGGCACCGACCGAGACCGGTGTCTTCGGGGTGCGCCCGGTCTGCTCCTCATCGAGGAAGCGCCTCCGCAGCTTGTCAGCGTAGCCCTGCTGGTGCAGCCATAGCTTCCCCGCCGTCCTGTCGCGCACGATCTCCAGCCCGAGGTACTTCTGCACCGGCGAGATCTTGCGCAGCTCGAAGGCAGCTTCCAGCAGCTCCTTCAGCTCCTTCAGCATCGTGGAGCTGCTGCTGGCGGCAAGCAGGTCGTCGATGTAGACCAGCACCCAGCAGATCAATTCACCCTCGCCGACCTTGAAGTAAAGAGCCTCGTCGACCTGGCTCTTCTTCCACCCGGCGCCGACCAGCACATCATTGAGCGCCAAGTACCACAACAGCGGCGACTGCTTCAGCCCGTACAGACTCTTCAGCAGCTTACACACCCGGCCGGTTCCGTCGTTGAAGTAGTCCGGCTGGGACATGTATAGCACCCGATCGAGCTTGCTCTGCAGGAAGGCGTTCTTCATGTCGAGCTGCATCAGGTTGAGGTTGAGGACAGTGACGATGCTGAGGAAGATCCTCAGCGTGACGTAGCTGCTCACCGGCGCGAACGTCTCGTCGTAGTCGGCGCCATACACTTGTGTGAAGCCCTTCACTACCAGCCTCGCCTTCTCTCGCTCGACGGTGTCGTCGATGTGGTACTTCGTCGTCAACACCCACCGGTTCTTCATGACGTTCACCCCCGGCGGGCGTTCGACCAGCTCCCAGGTGCCCATGTTGATGAGGCTGCGAATCTCCTCCTCCATGGCGGCCTTCACCGCTGGGCCCTTCCAGCTCGCCAATGCCTCCTTCACCGTCATCGTTGAGATGTCCCAACGGTGCTCGGGGTCGGCTAGCATGTCAGGGTCGAGTTCCGGAAACTCCTCATCCTCCTCGGCGTCGTCGTACAGCAGGTCGTCGTCATCGTCCACGTCATACACCGTGGTGAAGGCAGCGGGGACGAAGAAGTCAGGCGGCCTCCGAAGTCGGCCTGAACGCCGTGGTCCTTGCTGGACCTCCGCGGCGTCCCCTCCATCGTCGCTGTCGTTGCTGCCCTCGGCGTCCTGCTGCTCCTCAGCCGGCGTCCCTGCCGACTGCTCCACTGTGGTCGGCTTCCCAACCGACTTCTCCCCTGTGGTCGGCTCCCCTGCCGACGTCCCGGTCGCCGACTGCTCCATGGTCGGCTTCACGGCAGCCTGCTCCCTTGTCGGCTGCTGCTCCTCGACCTGCTGCTCCCCTGTCGACTGCAATCCCACGTCGATTCGCCGCTCGTCACGTCGCCCACCGGCGATGCACTTGGCCGACGCCGAAGGCGGCGTCCCACTACTCCCCTCATCGCCGGAGGCCGACACCGAGGTCAGCCCACGTAGGTCGGCCACGAGGGGAGGGGCAGGGGTCAGAGGGAGAGGGGTAGAGGGGCGGACGTCCTCGACGTCCTCAGTAGCAAGCTCACCGACCTCGGCAAGCAACGGCTGCGTCACCGACGAGGTGTCAGAGGGCGGGGTGGACGACGAGCGACCGGACACCGGCCCATGCTCCGTCCTCCACTCGGCCAACGACATCTCCTCGTAAAACACCACGTCCGACGTGGTGACCACCCGGTCAGTGGCGACGTCAAGGAGCTCCCAGCCCTTGCTCGCCGCCGACACGCCAAGGTGCAGGCCCCACTTGGCCTTCGGCGTCAGCTTCCCACCACGCTGCTGCTCAGGAACAAGGAACTGCGCCATGCAGCCCCACACCCGCGCCAGCGACAAGTCGGGCTTCTTCCCGGTCAGCAGCTGGTACGGCGTCGTCCCCGGCGGCAGCGTCGACCTCTCAAGGCAGTTGCGGACCCAGACGGCCTGCCGGAGAGCGAGGTGCCACCAGTGGTGCTGCACGCCCATGTGCAGCAGCATTGTCCGCACCGACTCCACCACCGTCCTCATCTCCCGCTCCGCCATGCCGTTCTGCTGCGGGGTGTATGGGCAGGTCAGGTCGTGGACGATTCCCTTGCCGTTCACGAAGTCGGTGAACTGCTTCCCGAGGAACTCCCCTCCCCGGTCAGATTGCAGCATCAACACCGGCTTCTTCGTCTGCCGCTCAGCCACCGCCAGCCACTGCACAAACGCCTGCAACGCATCTGACTTCTTGGGCGACCGGCTTCACCCACACGTAGCGGGTCTTGCGGTCCTTCAGCAGCAAGAAGTACAGGCTACCATCCTTGGAAGCCACGCGGAACGGCCCGCACAGGTCGATGTGCACGACGGCCAGCACGTTGTCGGCGTCGGAGCCTTGGTCGGGGAAGGTGTGCCGCGCCAGTTTCCCGCCGACGCACGAGACACAGGGGGAGTCGGCGTCCGTTGCCGACTTGAGGTCCAGCCCAATGGCGACCTCGTTCTTCGCCGAGCTCCGTATGGTGTCCATGCCGACATGTGCAAGCCTCGCATGCATCCGGTCCGGCGTCGACTTCGTCTTCGAGACGATCGCCCGCAGAGCCACCACTTCCGTCGTGGGCGGCGTCGACCTCGTCGCACAGGGATGCAGGTCAGTGCAGAGAACTCGCCTAGAGTACGTCACCCGCGCGAGCACCTCCCCCGCTGCCGAGACGAGCAGCATGCCGTCTCCGTCCTCCTGCAGCTTCACGCCATGCTCCTTCAGCTGTCCGGCCGACAGCAGGTTGGCTCGCACACCCGGGACGTACAACACGTCGGGGATGAGCACCTGCTTCCCGGCCTCTCCTTGCAGGGCAATGGTACCGCAGGCCTGAACATCCTGCAGCGCCCAGTTGAAGCCGCGCACATGCCTGATGGCGCCGCTCGGCTGCAGGTCGACGAAGGCTTCCTTCGTCCCCATCAGGTGGTGGGAGCAACCGCTGTCGAGCAGAACCACCGCCGGGTTCGCTTGCACAGCTGCCGCCACCGCCTGGAAGTCCTCTCCGGCCTCCGACGCTAGAGAGATGGTCGGCTCCACGACGCCGACCAGCGAGCACGACGCCGTCTTGTCGTCTCGCCCCTTGCCGCCGGCAGAGGAGTCGGCGTCCTTCGCCGAAGTCGATGTTTTGGTCGACTGCTTCTCCTTGCGCGATTGGTTTCCTCCACGACGAGGACGACGGCTGCCAGACCTCCCACGGCCTCCCTTAGCATCGTCGTCGTCGGAGTCGCTGCGGTTGGGACACTCGAAGGAGAGATGGTCGGGATCGCCGCACAGCCAGCATTCCCGACGTCGACCTCCTCCTCCTCGACCGCTGTCCTTGGTCGACTTCCTCGTGTCGACCTCCTTGGCCGGCTTCCAGCCACTGCTACCACCACCGCCAGACTGCCCGCGCTGCCCCGGTCGACCTCCTTGCTTCGCTGAGGTGACCAAGTTCGCCTGCGCCAAGAGCTCCTGCGACCGCTCAGCCTCCTGCATTGCCTCGTCCTGCAGGATATACGAGGTCAGGTTGTCCTCGTTAAGCGTCGCCCTTGTGCTCGGCGCCATGGACAGCCGCTTCAGTAGGTTGTAGCTACTAGAGAGACCCTGCATGACATGGGTGATGTACGACGCCGTGGAGTACTGCGCGCCGGCCATCCTGATGGTGGCGAGAATTCGCCTGGCTCGGTTGCAGTAGTCGGTCGCACTCTCCTCGTCACCCATACGCAGGTGCGTCAGTTGTCCCTCCAGCTGGGCAATGAACAGGTCGTCGGTGACCTGGTACGTCGACTCAATGAAATGCCACGCCCGGTGGCCAGCGTCGAGGTACTCCTGGCACCACTTCAAGGCGATCTGCACGCCCGGCGAGCAGCACCGCGAGATGACCGTGAAGGTCAACAGCTGAACGGCGCGAAACTCTGCACGCAGGTCGGGGTGGTGCTCCCCCGGCGTCGCCACGGTCCCTCGGGCGAAGCCGATCAGCCCGGCCATCTCCAGCTGGGGCTCGATGGCTTCCTTCCAGGTGAGTATGTCAGGTCGACCGACCAGCAGAGGGGTGACCGAGATCGTGTCCGGCGTAAACTTGAAGTAGTCGTAGCTCGGTGCAATCCCACCTGCCGTCACCTGGGACGCCGACATCGGCGACAGCCCACTTCGACGCCCTCCGACGTCACCATGTGAGGAGCCTGCAGCCGCCGACGACTGCATCCCTCGCGCCTGAACGCCGCCGACTTCACCGGCGTGTATCACACCTCTCTGCCTCGACGTGCCTCCAGCACTGCTGCCGACTTGACCACCACCGGCGTTGACGCCCACGTCGACGCCGCCTTCGTTGTTCACCGGACGAGGAGAGGCAGGTCGAGACGGGTGCTCCGTCGCCCACATGGAGCGGAGTCCTGCCTCAATGACCGGCCAGGGCAAGTTGCCATACTCGTTGGCCTTGTGCTTCCTCCTCGCGTTCTCCAACCATGCCTCTAGGGTGTCCACCACCCCCGCGTCACCTACGGCTCCTACCATAGTGACTACCGCACAGTTGCCGGCCTGCAACTACGAAATAGGTAAGTGGTGTCTACGTCGACCTGACTGAAAGGTAAGTCGTGTGCCGTCCACGCTCACCGCACCATGCGGAGATAAGTGCAGCAACGGGAGATAGACTACGGGCTAGGCACGTGTGCTCGTGTGATCTCTGCGTTCTCTGTTCCTTAGTCGTTTTCCTTGTGCGCACACTACTTGCTAGTTCACGGGGAAAATTGGCAAGAGGTCCACTAGGAAAAGTTCAGAACAATTGGTACAATGAAGTTGGCATAGCAAGACTACATCAGAGCAAGCATTCAGGTCGGCCAACTGCCAGCGCAGCTTGGTCGACCGCGTTCCAGCACAACTTGGTCGACCGCACTCCAGCAAGGCAAGGTCGATGGCGTGCCAACGTTGCAGGACAGCAGTGCACCCGCTTCACAGGTGCGCGCAGATGATTGGCGTGCAGAGTCCTGTCACCTCTGATCCGCCACGACGACCTCGGGATACCACCACCAAGGTCGGTCTCGCCAACTTCGCCTGGGCGACCGCCACACTCCTCCGCAGCACTTCGTTACCCAGGTAACCTGGTCGACTAGGGAACCATGTCGACCAGCAGCTCCCATACGTGCCCATCGACCTCCCAAGTCGACGACCACCTCCACGTCGACCTCCTCCAGGTCGACGTCCCCTCTGGTCGACCAACTCCACGTCGACCAGCATAGTCGTCGGCCGACCACCCACGTCGGCCACCCCAAGTTGACGTCACCAAGTTGACGTCCTCCACAGGTCGGCTCCCAAGTCGACCTCCCTGAAGTCGGCGCCACCCTAAAGTTGGCGCCAGTGCAGTGGTCCCCCGTGCAGATCGACCTCCTCGTCGACCAGCTCACCCACTGCTGCAGGTCGGCTGCTCCTCTCACACCCGACCACGAAGTCGGCTCCGCCCAAGCGAGGACGGGGCCAATACCCAACTCCCGTTGACAGACGGGGCCAGCCGAGGTGGCGCCGGGGTCGGGAAGGGCGGAGCCGGGGCCGCAGGGGCAGGCGACGGGGCCAGCAGAGGCGGGGCCGGGTCGGGAAGGTCGGCGTCGGGGTCGCCGGGGTAGGCGATGGGGCCAGTCGAGGTGGAGCCGGGGCCGGGAAGGGCGGAGCCGGGGCCGCAGGGGCAGGCGACGAGGCCAGCAGAGGCGGGGCCGGGTCGGGAAGGTCGGCGTCGGGGTCGCCGGGGTAGGCGACGGGGCCAGCCGAGGTGGCGCCGGGGCCGGGAAGGGCGGAGCCAGGGCCGCAGGGGCAGGCGACGGGGCCAGCAGAGGCGGGGCCGGGTCGGGAAGGTCGGCGTCGGGGTCGCCGGGGTAGGCGACGGGGCCAACCGAGGTGGCGCCGGGGCCGGGAAGGGCGGAGCCGGGGCCGCAGGGGCAGGCGACGGGGCCAGGAGAGGCGGGGCTGGGTTGGGAAGGTCGGCGTCGGGGTCGCCGGGGTAGGCGACGGGGCCAACCGAGGTGGCGCCGGGGCCGGGAAGGGCGGAGCCGGGGCCGCAGGGGCAGGCGACGGGGCCAGCAGAGGCGGGGCCGGGTCGGGAAGGTCGGCGTCGGGGTCGCCGGGGTAGGCGACGGGGCCAGCCGAGGTGGCGCCGGGGCCGGGAAGGGCGGAGCCGGGGCCGCAGGGGCAGGCGACGGGGCCAGCAGTGGTGGGGCCGGGTCGGGAAGGTCGGCGTCGGGGTCGCCGGGGTAGGCGACGGGGCCAGCCGAGGTGGCGCCGGGGCCGGGAAGGGCGGAGACGGGGCCGCAGGGGCAGGCGACGGGGCCAGTAGAGGCGGGGCCGGGTCGGGAAGGTCGGCGTCGGGGTCGCCGGGGTAGGCGACGGGGCCAGCCGAGGTGGCGCCGGGGCCGGGAAGGGTGGAGCCGGGGCCGCAGGGGCAGGCGACGGGGCCAGCAGAGGCGGGGCCGGGTCGGGAAGGTCGGCGTCGGGGTCGCCGGGGTAGGCGATGGGGCCAGCCGAGGTGGCGCCGGGGCCGGGAAGGGCGGAGCCGGGGCCGCAGGGGCAGGCGACAGGGCCAGCAGAGGTGGGGCCGGGTCGGGAAGGTCGGCGTCGGGGTCGCCGGGGTAGGCGACGGGGCTAGCCGAGGTGGCGCCGGGGCCGGGAAGGGCGGAGCCGGGGCCGCAGGGGCAGGCGACGGGGACAGCAGAGGCGGGGCCGGGTCGGGAAGGTCGGCGTCGGGGTTGCCGGGGTAGGCGACGGGGCCAGCCGAGGTGGCGCCGGGGCCGGGAAGGGCGGAGCCGGGGCCGCAGGGGCAGGCGACGGGGCCAGCAGAGGTGGGGCCGGGTCGGAAAGGTCGGGGTCGGGGTCGCCGGGGTAGGCGACGGGGCCAGCCGAGGTGGCGCCGGGGCCGGGAAGGGCGGAGCCGGGGCCAGGAAGGGCGGCGCTGAGGCCGCAGGGGTAGGTGACGGGGCCACTAGGGCGGTGGATCGGGGCCGCGAGGGCGGCGTGACGGGGTAGCAGGGCCGCGCGCCTCGGGGCGCGCGCCAGAAAGGCGCGCGGCGAGATGAAAATAGGTCGCACGCCGCGGGGCGTGCGACAGATCGAGTAGCAACGGAAGCAGTAGTAGGGCCTTAGGAACAGTTCCCACGAGGGAACCTGCTCGATACCATGAGAAAACTGAAACGAGAATGGTTCAACTATGAAAGAGTTGAGTACAAGTACTAACCCTAATTGGGTTGTACCCCATATGCCCACTACAGCCTACACAAATGTATAAGCTATATGTTCTTACAAACGGCTGCAAATCGGTCCAGCGTACTTACAACAAAGTAAATGAATGTTTGATGAAGATAAACATGGTTCAAAATAACAAACGGATGTCGAGACAGCACTGTCAGAATGTTATTATCTAGCTTGTAGTGGGGTGCTCTATAGCGAGTACAACCGTGTTAGGGTTTGCTATATGTATCCCATCTACTGCTAGTGAAACCCCTCCTTTCTTCACATTCCTCATTTCTTCACATGGTATCAGAGCAGGTCGACCCTCCTGGGTCGTTCCTGTGTATGGGCCCACCACCTCACTGCTTCCGCTGCCACTACTACTCTGTGTGTTGCACGCCCCGTGGCGTGCGACAGATTTTTCTTCCCGCCGCATGCTCGGAGCGTGCGGCGGTTTTCTGCACGCCGTGCGCCCCGTGTGAAAGTTTAGAAGGAAGAAGAGGGTTGCACTAGCAAGCAGCAAGATACATATAGGAAACCCTAAGGGATTGTACTCGATATAGAGTACCCCACTGCAGGCTAGAGAACAAAGATAACATTCTGACACACCCCCATAGCCAAAGTGGGGTGTAATCAGCAGAGCAAGCAAAGCAGTACAAGCTCAGGGTGGATCACAATGTCACCACACATTCTGAGCACAAGTTCAAGAAGCAATAGTTTAAAGTTCACAATTATGAGCAAAGCTAGAGGCTATCGCAAAGGGCATGTGTGGAGGAGGAGGGACTATGGGGGAGAGAAGATGGGAGGCGACTGCTGACGCTGCAGACACACAGACGAGCTGCTGGCTCAGTGGCTACCGGAACAGCGCTCCGGACTACTGGAGTAACTGGCCCCGCGGCTAAAAGTAGCGGCAGACGAGCAACGGACCCATGGGCAACTGGCGACTACCGGAGATTGTAGCCTCCGGACTGCTGCTGCTACTGACGACAAGACTGCTGCCTCCACTCAACCTCCCCCAGCTGCCCAACGCCCCTCTCACACACCCAGTGCTACACCCCTAGCTCCACTCCCCCTTCACCCCCCCTTAGTACCACTCCACCGGCTCCAACAAGTCCACCCCCCCCTCAGCGGTAGCTGCAGCACAGGGAGACGGAGGAGGAGGAGGAGCAGGGAACGGCACACAGTAGGTTCACCCCCATACCCCCTACCTCCAAACCCTAATTCAGGAGAACGGGCCGTAGGAGGGGTGGGGCGCCAGCAGAAGCACAGGGGACAGCGGGGAGGGCAGGGGCAGCGACAAAAGGGGCCGCCCACGGGCCTGGCACAGCTGCCCGAGCCGCGCGCAGGCGGCACGAGTCGCGCGCGGGCCTGGCGCAGCCCGTACGGGCCGCGCGCTGGCCTGGCGCAGCCCGTACGGGCCGCGCGCTGGCCTGGCGCAGCCCATACGGGCCGCGTCCGGGCCTGGCGCAGCCCGTACGGGCCGCGCGCAGCCTGTACGGGCCGCGCGCAGGCCACGACGGGCGACAGGGGGCGACGCGCGGGTCCCCGTCGCCCGTCGCAGCTCCTCCCGGGGGCGACGTGCCGAATGACGGGGCAAAAGCCCGCCGCGCGCCTCGGGGCGCACAGCGGGCAGAGAAGCGCCGCGCGCCTCGGGGCGCACGGCGGGCAGAAAACTGCCGCGCCCCTCGGGGCGCATGGAGGGAAGAAAAAACTGCCGCACGCCACGGGGCGTGCGGCATAGAGAGTAGTAGTAGCAGTTGCAGCGGAAGCAACGAGGTGGTGAGCCCACCCACAGGATCAATCCAAGGGGATCGACCTGCTCTGATACCATGTGAAAGTTTAGAAGGAAGAAGAGGGTTGCACTAGCAAGCAAAAAGATACATATAGGAAACCCTAAGGGGTTGTACTCGCTATAGAGTACCCCACTACAGGCTAGAGAACAAAGATAACATTCTGACACCCCGAGGCGCGCGGCGGCTCCCCGTCGGTCCGCGCGTCGCCCCCGGGGGGCGCTTCGACGGGCGACGGGGACCAGCCCGTCGTCCCCGGTCGCCTGTCCCGGCCAGCGCGGGCTGCGCTAGCCCCGAGCGCGGCCCGTACGGGCTGCGCCAGGCCCGCGCGGGGCCCGTACGGGCTGCGCCAGGTCCGCGCGCGGCCCGTACGGGCTGCGTCAAGCCCGCGCGCGGCTCGGGCCGCCTGCGCGCGGTTCGTCTAGCTGTGCCAGGCCCGTGGGCGGCCCGTTCTTCTCTGCCCCTGAGCTGCCTGATGTCCCCCGTGCTTCTGACGGCGCCCCACCCCTGCTGCTGCCCGTTCTCCTGAATTAGGGTTTGGGGGTGGGGGGTATGGGGGTGCAGTTTCTGTGCGCCATCCCCTGCTCCTCCTCCTCCTCCATCTCCCAGTGCTACAGCTGCCGCTAAGGGGGGTGGATGTGTTGTGTTGGAGCCGTCGGAGTGGTACGAAGGGGTGACATGGGAGTGGAGTTAGGGGTGAAGCAGTTAGGGGGTGTGTCAAGGGTGTGGGTCAGTTGGAGGTTGTGTGGAGGTAGCTGTCGTGTCGCCTGCAGCGCCTGTAGTCCGTCGCCCTTGCTTCGGTAGCCAGTGAGCCTGTTGCACCAGTCGCCAGTGGGTCCGTTGCTCCTGCCGCTCGTCTTAGCCGCGGAGCCAGTCACTCTAGTAGTCCGTCGCCCTTGCTTCGGTAGCCACTGAGTCAGCCGCTCTTGTGCCCGCGCCTCTGCAGCTTCAGTCGTTGCCTCCCATCTTCTCTCCTTCCATAGTTCCTCCTCCTCCTCACTTGCCCGCTGTGATTACCTCTAGCTTTGCTTATTATCGTGAACTCCTGCTCATTGTGCTGATTACACCCCACTTTGGCTATGGGCGTGTGTTAGAATGTTATTATCTAGCCTGTAGTGGAGTGCTCTATAGCGAGTACAACCCTGTTAGGGTTTGCTATATGTATTCCCAACTACTGCTAGTGAAACCCCTCCTTTCTTCACATTCCTCATTTCTTCACAAGCACCGCGGGTCGCATAGGCCTATCCTTGCACAATTTTCCCTGCTCAGTTCTTTGAAACACCATATCTTCCCACCAGATGTTCAAATGGCACCAAATCGGTCCAGCATACTTAAAATATAGTAAATGAACGTTAAATTAAGAAAAACCTAATTTAAAAGGATAAACGGATGTCGAAACAGCACCACGTTTTGCACAGGCCTATCCTTGCACAATTTTCCCTGCTCGGTTGTTTGAAACACCCAATTTTCCAACCAAATGCTATAAATGGCACAAGATCTATCCAGCATCCTTGCAATATAGTAAATTAATGAATGATCAAGAGTAACATTGATTTAAATATCAAAATGACGTCGAGACAACACCTAGTGTCGCAGAGGCCTATCGTTGTACGGTTTTCCCTGGCCTTATATGAAACACTATATTCCCTACCAAATGAAGCGAAAGGCGTTCAAATGTTTCCTGCACTCTTGCAATAAAGTGAATATTTTTTCTTAAAATAACAAAAAGATTGCTAAAAGATAACATTATGCCTACGATACATTGTCACATGTTGCTCAATCCTTTCGTTGCACAATCTTCCGTGCTCTATTGTTTGAGGCAACATCTCTTCCTAATAAGTGGCCAAAGTGGCACCAAATTCCAACACTGATATAATTGATCAAGATGTAGTGCAGTCCGTTACGTTGTGCATGCAAATGCATGACTTCGTTAACATATCAGACAAATCTCAACAATAATTCCTAAGGGAACGGGGTGTAAGTAGTACAATAGCAGTACAGAAGTCTTTCCACAAACATAGGGGTGAGCATTCGCACCATTGTATGCTCATTTGAGTTTGAGTTTATATATCAATTGTAATTGAAAGTGATTGTTGATTGGTTGAATTCTTTCATACATGTAATCTTTACAAAAAATATGGACAATGCACTCGTAAATCTCACCATGGGTAGGCTTGTTGTTGCTCGTGATTAGATATTGCGTATAATTGTCATCATTTGTGACAATCTGTTTGTTTCATTTTTGACTTTCAAAATTGGGTCTTAATAAAATGTTGAGAAATAAGTGGGCATGTCTTCGGCTTGAATATTGTGTACACATGGTTCAAGAAACTGCTGCGCTGGCAGCAGCGCGGTTCACCAGTGCGAATGTCGAGTACAGTTGCGCATGTATCCCTCCAACACACGTTTGAGATAGCAACCCCCGACCTAAGCAGATCACCCCAGCGAGGGAGCTCAGTGGCGTCAGGAAACAGTGCACGCCAAGCGTCAGTCAGGCTGCCGAATCAGCGGTGTGTAGCGTGCGGCAGCCCGCACGTCTCCCCATTGCGCTCACTGGTGCGGAGAACGTAAGCGCAGGGACCAGCACCCCCAGACCTCCCACGCCCAGTGTACCACTCACGAAGCTGCTGGGGCGACGGGGTCTCTCGAGAACGCTGCTGCTGCTGGCGCTGGCCACCGCCAAAGCATTCCCGCTGCACAGCTCCACCTCGACCAGCACCACCCCCGCCTCCACCCCCACTGCCGCTGCCGCCGCCGCCTCCACCTCCACCACCGCCACCGAAGCCCCCACTCCCGCCGCCACCCCCACCTCCACCCCCACCCCCTCCACCTCCTCCACCGCCACCACCGCCGCCACCATCGCCGCCCCCGCCGTCTCCTCCACCACCCTTGCCCCCCTTGCCCTTGCCGCTGCGGCGTCTCCCACTAGGAGCAGACGCAACTCCGACCGACTCGGTGCCAACAAGGTCGACAGCAGCAGCAGAGGCAACAGAGGGCAAAAGGGGGACAGGGGAGCACCCCTCAAAGAAAGGGGCACGAGGGTCACCACGAGAGGCTCCTACAGCGACTATGCTCTTCTCAGCTGCAAGGAGGCGCTCCTCGAGGAGGTCAACGGTGAGCGTGGTGGGGCAAAGGGAGAGGAAGTGGTCCCTGACTGAGCGAAGGGAGTCAGGGAGCCGGTTGACGAGGTAGAAGAGGGTGATGTACATAGGGGGGGGGTTCTTGGTGTAGAACTCGGCAGGAAGTGCAGCGCGGTAGTGGGTATCACTGGTGCGGAGGTGGGTAATGAGGTCAGCAACTGTGGCAAAAGCGGCGAGGTCAGGGAACAGGTACGGCAACATGAGGCGGCTGAGGGCAGCATGAGGCAGGGGAGGAGTAGCGCGCAACAACAGCGTCATACAGAGTCTTAGCAGTCTTGTACTGGCTAAAGTGCGCGCACTCAGCAGACGGCAGGCGACTACGAACATCAAGACGAGCAGCAGCATCACGCGTGGTCCACTGCGAGCGAACCATATTTTCAGCGTCGGCAGCAGGTGCAACAGAGACGCCGGACGTGTGATCGAACAGTGAGACTCCGTCCCTAGAGTCGCACTGCACAAAGATCTGCAGGTCATCGACCAAGACCTCGAAATATACCGCTCGAACCTCAGCATCGAACGTAAGAACACTAGGGTTAGCCATGACGGCACTAGTAGTAGCAGTAGCTGCAGCAGCAGCAGTAGCACTTGAGCACGGTGACGCGGCTCGGCAGGGCGGCGCGGCTCGGCAGGGCGGCGCGGCTCGGCAGGGCGGCACGGCTCGGCAGGGCAACGCGGCACGGCAGGG